TACTGTCTTAATTTTCTTGGGCAGACTTTCTATTTTAAAGGAAATCTTGTGCAAATGCCAAGAATAACTTATATTTCTGTAAAAGATACTACAGCAAAATCTGGCTATTGCACTATGAAGTACCAAAAGAATGGGTGAATGCCATGATACGGCCTCAGTACATTCAACTTTTTATTAGAGACTAATATGTAGAAAGAAATTTATCTATGAAAGCTATGAAAGTACTCAGAATTCATGAATGTGGGCTGTAGTTCTCACCCCAAAATGTAGATCTGGGCAAAGAAGGCCTGATAGCCATACATTAATATCCAGGGGCATATCCAGGCAGAATGATGGGCAATCATCTTAATCTCAAGGTCTTAAAGTCAGACTCAAGAAAACATGTACGAGACTCTACATAAAACACATGAATTCCAGATATAATCTCCAGATATAATGGAGAACAAAGGATTAAATAGGTATATCAATTTCATTTAAACTCTTCATATCCACAAATATCTATCTTTGGAAATATCTGAAGCAGGTAACAACAGAATAACCAGGTAGATCTCACTGAGAAAGCAGGAGGAAGGAAAAACTCCTCAGGTGAGGTTATCGTGGGTAAAGGCCTCTTGGTGACAATTTGAATTGAGAAGGCAGTGGAAGAGTCTGATCCTGATGCCACATGGGAGCCTCTCTGGTTGGAAGCGCTTTTGTAAAGCCTATCTCCATAACCCTCCACACTAGCATGCAAGCATTGCAATAGTGGGAGGATTAAAATATTTAACTTCAGTTGCAGCCACAATAGACATCTGTGTCTCTGGTTCCTCTATCTACAAATGCAAAAGGCACCTTATTTTTCCTCAGCGTGCCCACTTTCAAGGCCTTTAAACCCATTTTAAAAAGCATTATAACTTTAGTTCTCTCAAGCCAACTCTCATTCAAAGAGTAAGAAAACACCAAAAAAGGGAAAATGATTAAAGCTAGATTAGCTCCCAATACTATAAATCCCTTCCTAGTCACGTGGAGGATGACTTTCAGGCACTATTATCTTGCATTCTTTACTGTCACATTTATTATTTTGATCCATCTCCCACTGCAGGGCTGCATTTGACACCTCACCACATCCCATTCCTGCGGCCTCCCTGGCCAGCTAACCCAACCGGGTGGCTCAACCGTGCCAAGGAAGTCGATGGCCATAAACGCACGGGCCGTGTGGACGGGCGAGGGAACAGGCCCAAGTAGGTAGCGCCCAGGCTTTATTAAAGCAGTATGAGATGACACTGAACGACTGAAGCAACAATCCTAATACTGATGTAACAAAACAAATTGCTAAGAGTTTTATATTTTACGGAAATCTGGAGAGCTAAGAGGAAAATATGCATAAATACAACACATTAAGCGATTTAAAAACAAAGATGAGTGTTGCAACACAGTATTTACTTCCAAATACATGTTTATTATTCCTTTGCCAAAGCAGAGATAACTTTCTGCCAGTGGTTGATATTAAGGTTTTTTTTCATCCTACTGTATAAACTGATGTTTCTCCCTTGAAATGAAAGGGCAGTAAGGAATCCTAACATGAAAACTATCAACGAAGCAAATCACTGCTCCCCAGAACAGAATGTTTTACATTTCTATCAAGATCATAATGAAGCTTGTAATATTGTTATTGCAATAATATAAATTTTTATTTTGAATTAGCAATGCTCATATTTTTGTTAAAACAAGAAAAAAAAACTCCTAATTTGTTCTTTTAAAGGACCTTGGAATCCCACCAGGACAAGTGTGTGCAAAGCAAACATAATATAAAATATGAAATAATATAAAATACAAAAAGCATTTATCCATATCTACTGCAAAAGAAAGAGTATAAAATTAAATTATAAAATTCTCATCCTTACAACCTTCTGGATACACTTAATGTATATAGGTAAACCATGGGAGAACGTATTTCCAAAGGGGAGAGAATCCACATTTAGATATTATCTGGGAAAAAAAAAATGCATTGAAATTCCTTTGTGATGAATAGACTGTTTTTTTTTTCTCCTCAGGGTGACCTCTACCTTCAGAATATGATGGGTTTATTATGATTAATAAATTTCATTTCCACAGAGGAAAGGAACAGTGTCAGCTTAAACTTAAAGCATGTAGGTTTCTTTTTAAATGCTAATTTTTAAACACGCCCTTGCATGACACAAAATTTAGAAGCTCGCAAGGTTAGCAGAATAGATTCTGCTTTCCATTCTGAAAATAGCAGGAAGGATTTAAACGATATTGCCACACTGAAAATCGGTAAGCTGGTGCAAGCACTTAGGGATGATGCCAGCACACTGATTTCTCATTAAAATTAGCAAAGTTTAAACATTTGGTGATCATTTACACCGGAAATGATTACCCTAAATAATTTACTCAAACTTAGGACGTGCAAATGACAAAGTATTTTGAATAACATGACTATTTACGTATTTTACAGAATATTAAATCAATTTATTGATGCTTATTTGAACTCAGAAATTCTTGCCTCCAGAAAACATCCGAGGAGAACTATGTGATGCCCCAGTAATGATAACAGGGTAAGTTCTAGCCTTTAGCATTTTCTTCACTTTGCCTGGAACAGGCCGTAACAGGAAAAAACAAAATGTTCACTAGCATTTTGTTACCACACGCGCACTCACTGCTGAATGGCTGCACCAACACTTTGCTGGAATATGCTTAGGAAAAACTCAGTAAAGCAATGCTAATGTCTCCAAATAGAGCTGCAAAGTATTCACCTATGGCTCAATGCGGAAATCTTGATAAGCTCATCTTTATTCAGGCTAAGTTTCCATTTTATTTTTATTTATTTATTTTTCAATATATACAGCACAAGTATGGATAAGCAATAATTTGTTGCCCACAGTGGAAACAGAAGACAGAATTAAAAATGGTAATTGTTTAGGAAGCATTTGTAAGGCCTTTTAAATTGAATCTCTCTCTTTAAAACAGCCGCTGTAGCTATTGCTGAATTTTCTAAAAAGCAGCAAAGCAATTCTTTCTCTCCACTTAATTATCTTTTTAGTATTTAAATTATTTGGTAATGTGGCTGTATTCCATATAAGGAAGGACAGTCACTCAAGCTCTGATTCTCACTGGAGAAATTCGCAAAGTGCTTAATAACATACGTACTCTAACGT